CGCCTGCGCCGGCCTGCGCTGCGCTGGCCCGCAACTCTGCGCCTGCGCCGTCCTGCTCCGCGCCGGCCCACGACTCTGCGCCCGCCCCGGCCTGCGACTGTGGGCCTGCGCCGCGCAGGCCTACGACTCTGCGCTTGCGCTGGCCTGCGCCGCGCCGGCCTGAGACTCTGCGCCTGCGCCGGTCTGCGCCGAGCCGGCCTGCGACTCTGCGCCTGCGCCGCCCCGCGACTCTGCGCCTGCGCCGCCCCGGCCTGTGACTCTGCGCCTGCGCCGCGCCGGCGCTGTGCCTCTGCGAGGGCGGAGTTGTATTGTCTTCATCACAGATCCAGAAAGCATCACGAGGGCGGAACTGTGTTCTCCTTTGCGCAGACCTCGGGGGTACCGCGAAGGGGTAGCAGCGTTCTCCTCAGCCCAGGTCAGCACGTGGGGTGCACCGCGAGGGCGGGGCTGCGTTCTGCTCAGCACAGACACTGGGTACACCGCGAAGGCGGAGCACCGTTCTCCTCAGCCTCGCTTTGGGGCAACGCGGGGCCATATCCACGGCGAATAAACTCCTTTCTGTTTGTAGCCTTGAGTAATGAAGGTCAGAGACTAGTTAGAATGGTTCAGTGTGGAAAACGAGAAACCAAAAGCCGCTCTGAATATTGCGCACCGAGGTTCTCCCCACCCAGGGCGAGGCGGCCTCAGTGCGAGGTCCACACCGTGGCCCGGAACACAAATGCAGCATACGCAGACATGACACCCCAAAGACGACACCCCCAGTGCTCACGGAACAAGTACCTCTAATGCTAATGCACTGCCTCAATAGAAAAGTTAATGCAAGATCTGCATTCCCCACGCTGCCCTGGAGTGCTAAGACAGCGATCATAATAACACTGACGTAGTCAATGCGAACGTAGCAATAGGGTTAGGGTTTGGGTTAGAGTTAGGGGTGGGAGATAGGGGTTATGGTTTAGGGCTAGGGCTAGAGTTTTAGGGTTAGGGTTTTAGGGTTAGGGTTCGGGGTTCGGGTTAGGGCTAGGGCTAGGGGGTTAGGGTTACAGTTAGGGGTTCGGGTTAGTGTTAGGGTTAGGGCTAGGGGGTTAGGGTTAGGGGTTAGGGCTAGGGTTAGGGGTTAGGGTCAGGGTTAAGGGTTAGGCTTAGGGTTATTGTTAGGGTTTTAGGGCTAGGGTTAGGGGTTAGGTGTTAGGGTTTAGGGATAGGGGTAGGGGTTGGGGTTAGGGTTAGGGGTTGGGTTAGGTTTAGGGTTAGGGTTAGGATTTAGGGTCAGGGTTAGGGTTTAGGGTCGTTGGGGTTAGGGGTTGGGGTTAGGGTTAGGTGTTATGGTTAGGGCTTAGGGGTTTGGGTTAGGGTTAGGGGTTAGGGTTGAGGGTGAGGGTTAGGGGTTAGGGTTAGTGGTTAGGGGTTAGGGTTAGGGGTTAGGGGTAGGTTTTAGGGTTAGGGGTTAGGGTTATGGTTAGGGCTAGGGCTAGGGTTTGGGTTTGGGTTAGGGTTGGGGTAGGGGTAGGGTTAGGGTTAGGTTTTAGGGTTAGGGTTAGGTTTTAGGGTTAGTGTTATGGTTAGAGGGTTAGGGTGGTTAGGGTTACAGGGTTAAGGTTAGGGTTAAGGGTTACGGTTGGGTTTAAGGGTTAAGGGTTTTAGGGTTAGGGGTTAGGGTTATGGTTGGGTTAGGGTTAGAATTAGGGGTTAGGGTCAGGGTCAGGGATCAAGGTTAGGGGTTAGGGTTAGGGTCTCGGTTAGGGGTTAGGTGTTAGGGTATTGGTCAGGATGAGGGTGATGGTCAGGGGTTAGGGTTAGGGGTTGGGGTTTAGGGGTTGGGGTTAGGTTTAGGAGTTAGGGTTAGGAGTTAGGGTTTTAGGGTTAGAGTTAGGGTTTTAGGGTTAGGGTTAGGGTTGTGTTAGGGTTTGGGTTAGGGTTAGTGGTGGGACAGGGCTTCGTCCCTCAGCTCACCTGAGACATATACCTATATGATTGCTTCCTCTGCCCTGTGTAAAATGCAGCTTCACTGAGCCACAGTAAGGTGTAAGTCACTATTCCTCTACCCCCACTCACAAGTCAGTTGTGTATTCACCGAAACGCTTATGAAAGACTCAAAACAATGCAATCTTTTGTCTCTCGTCTACCTATATGCTGGAAGGCCCCCACCTTTGTGTTTTCCTGCCTTTCCAGATGGAACTCTGTTTCTGAAAAACAAACAAACAAAATGTGGTTTTGAGACATTTGGATGTGGGAGGTCTTCTTGCAGGCCAGATGTCAGACCCTTGCCTGAGACGGCGGTGGGGCCACCAAGGAGATGGTGGCCCTCATGCTGCCCCAGTCTCACTCCTACAGGCTCACCCCCAATCTGGCCCACGATGCAGTGCGACTACAGAGAAGTGGGACATACTCACTGTAGGTACTGCTGATACTCATGCGCATTCTTCCCATGAACAGCATGAACGTTGACCAACTCCAGCGTAATGAGGAACAGGATCAGGCTGAGCACAGGGGACGGTAGTCTGATACTAAAAACAGATGAAAGTAAATTCAAACGTGAGGAATGTTGGTATTTTCCACCTTCATCAGGAAAAAGATGTTTCACCTCATCAACATCCTTAAGTCCCAACTTCTTAAAAAATAATTTTCCTAATCCTCAGAGCCCAATGCCTGCTTCCAGTCCCCAGACCCGTGGCTGGCGGGAGTGCCCAGTGTAGCCCTTGCTCCTGGCCCATCCTGCACGTCCGCATTCCTTGCTCATCAGTCATCATCTGAGACTCTCAGACATCTGATGGTCTACGTCAGGGCTGCCAGGGGCTCTGCACACTCACGGAGCACCTGGCAGGCCCAGTCTGCACCCAGCAGCCCCCCTGCGCCCTGCCCTCTGACATCTAGGGAGGGACTCTCACTAGAGGAAAACAAATGGCCTCAATACAAAAGCAGGCTCAATGCCACCAGATTAAAGAAATCCCAACTAAAGTAAGATCTTATTTTTCCTGTGAAACTAGTTGAGACATTTAAGAATATTCTGGTTTTGGAGAGTGGTAATAACAGAATGACCTTGTCTTATAAACTGCTGGTAAGAGTGTAAATTGAGTAGCACCCTTCTGGAGGGGAATCCAGTGATATCTATTTAAAGCTTTAAAAACACAGATACCACTCAACCCAAAAGTTCTAGAAATGTATCCAAAATGGTCATTTCTTAAGGATGTAGCACATTCTAAAATATACACTGTAAGTAAAGGAACCATAATGCTGTTAATCTGCTATTAAGTTAATCTCTTGTTATATTTTAAATCCAAATCCAGTTAATCCGCTGTTATACTTTAAATCCAAATATTCATTTAGGTAGATAGAACCCACATTTCCATAGGCCAAATTACAAACACTATTTAAAATAGTATGTACTATAACTTTCTATGAAAATCAGCATGGGGAGACCTCACAGTCCTCAGATAACATCATTTCATTCAACACCGTTTCATCACAACATCAGTGAGAAAAGAAATCGATACACCGTGAGGGCCATGGTCTGTGTGGAGAAGCACGTTCTGCATGGGTTTTCTCCCATCCCCCAGTTTCCTCCCACATCCCAGAGCCGTGCACATTAGGTGAACTGGCATATCTCCATGGTCCCAGAGTGAGTGTGGGTGTGTGACTGGCCCTGCAAAGGAACCACGTCCTGTCCAGGGTGGGTCCTGCCTTGTACCCGGAGCTGCTGGGATAGGCTCCAGCCACCTACAACTCTGAACTGGAATGAACAGGTTGGAAAATGAATGAATGAATGAATGAATGAATGAATGAATACAAATTATAAGAACTTGTAAAGTCTACCATCATCATGCAAGTGCTCGACAGTGCATGTCGGTACAAAAGTGCTCAGTGACCCACACATTTGTTCCTGTTGGTGCTGGAGCTGTGGGTGGGGGGAAGGGGGCGGGCCTGGGGAGGTCTCGCTCCGCAAACATTTACTGCCTCATTTAACCACCACAGGACTGCCGGACTGCCGTCACTCACTGCCTCGCCAAACAGTGAGTAGTTCTCACTTGTTTTTATTCATCTTTCTTAAATGTCCATAGAGCTCATATGTGCCTCAATGTTTAACACTGTAAGTGTTTTGGGTCTTTCTTTAGAAGTTTGGCAATATTTTTATGACCAGAAACATGCTGTGGGAACTTAACTTTTGTTTCCACCATGCAATGAAAATAAATCTCAGTACCCCAAACTCACTAAGCCAAAGGGAAAAGTCAAGCTGGGAACTGCCTCAGGCAAACCTGCCTCCCATTTTATTCCTAAATAATGTGGCTACAAGAGAAAAAAGCTACATACAGACCTCCCTCACAGTTTGTCCACAAGGAAATGCCTCGTGGGCCTCAAGATCTCTACCCGGAAAGACTTCTGCTGAATTTCACCCTGGCAATGCAGTTGCCAGCTGATCTTCCCAGGGGTGGGACAGGGCGTCATCCCTCAGCTCACCTGAGACAAATACCTATATGATTGCTTCCTCTACCCTGTGTAAAATGCAGCTTCACTGAGCCACACTAAGGTGTAAGTCACTATTCCTCTACCCCCACTCACAAGTCAATTGTGTATTCACCGAAAGGCCTCTGAAAGACTCAAAACAATGCAATCCTTTGTCTCTTGTCCACCTATAACCTCGAAGGCCCCCACCTTTGTGTTTTCCTGCCTTTCCAGATGGAACCGATGTACACCTTACACCTACTGACTGATGTCTTATGTCTCCTTAAAACGTACAAAAATGTATAAAAGCGAGCTGCGCCCCAAGTACCTGGGGCACATGCTGTCAGGATCTCCTGAGGCTGTCACAGCACGTCCTTAACCCTGGGAAAGTAAACTTTCTAAAAGGATTGAGACCTGTCTCAGATACGTTGGGTTCATACTCTCAGTTGTGAACTCCAAGTATATCAACACCTGTCGATGGGTTCAGTGAGGGGCCTACTGTGTGTGTCTTCAGTGGGGACTGGAACTGCATCTGTGACAACTTCCGGCCCCACAGTGCCCCTCTAAAACAGAAAAGTGAGCGCACACCTACTCCATATACGCAGGTAGTTCTGCCGCTGGCGAGACTGCAGCATCCTTTCCACCCACTGCCTGTGTCTCAGCTCCGAGGCAATGGTGACCTGGCCAGACACGTGGTGACACTGCTTGCCGATGCTTTGGAGCACAACCAGCACTTCCAGCACAATCCTGGGACAGAAGAGGGTAGGAAAGGGTGTGCTGCAGAGCTCACGGAGCAGCTGGGGCCACCTGCAAACAGAGCCAGACTTGGAGCAGGCATTGTGATCCTCACCTGTACCTCACTCTCCTGTACCTGCAAGGCTGCGGCTTTCTGGGAGCCAGAACTAGCTGCGTATCACTGGTGGGTCTGCAGGGACAACCGTGACATGCGGCAAGTGTTAATTAAATACACTGAATTGTGGCAAACAGAATGTGACATTCACAGCCTCATCAGATGTGCCACGCTTGCACAGAGATTGTCAAAACTGATCTCATAATTCCTCTTGGAGTAGTAACAGTGAGATTCTAAGACTACTTTATAAAATCTAAAACATAGAAAATGTCTAAGTTTGCTATGCTAATCTGCAGAATCAATGTTTTAACAGTTGTCCTGGAACTTACGTCTCAGTAGGAAGATGATCCAAGTCCTTTAAAACACAATGATTCTCAGGCACATGGTGATACAGCTCATCCGTCATTTTTGTAATTAAACAGTGGCTGGCATTTGTTTCAGAATTATCTTCTAATCTGAAACATAGAAAATATTTAAAGATACATGACAATTAAAATGCCCACATTAGGGCCCATGCACAATAATGGTTAATGGTTCACTGAGCAGCAACCTGACTGTGAATCTTAGTTTCCCCAAATATAAAATGTAAAAAGCCACCATCACGGGATAGTGGAGAAAGAAACGATGCCCCATGCGAAAAGCAAAGTCCAATGATGACTGATGACGAGACAATGAACAACCTGCGTATTCCTCCTGCTGAACAAGTATGTCTGCTGTTGTCTACGATTCCAGAATGCATGTCTCCATCCCCACTTCTCTCCTGAGCTTCAGACCCATCTTTCTTTCTGCCTACTCAGTAGTTCTCATGGACGCCATTGTCTACCCACAAAACCTGCCCCTCGTTCCATGTTCAGTCTCCACCAGGGCCCCAGGCCAGCTGGAAGATTGCATTCAGCATCACTTGCAGCTCCTCACAGCCACCAAGGCCCAGAAATTCCTCCTTCCCCTTTTATCTTCCAACAGCCTCGCTAAAGAAGAAATGCTGCTGAAACTAACAGTACCAGACAAGCTTGATGTCAGCCAGGCCCCAGGATGCCACGTACCTGACTGCTTCCCAAGTGGGTTCTTTGGGGAAAGGCAGCAGAGCCCAAACCCTGATACTCTCCTCAAAGCTCAGCATCTGGGATGAAATGTTTTATTGACTTTGTAGATTTCACGGTAACTTCCTAGAAAATCTGTTTTTAGATTGTTATGGATGTTACATCACTCTCTAGAAAATACGTATCTATAAAATTATTACAAATTCTAAACATTTTAAAACCAGAGGGCGGGTGTCAGTTCTTCAGTACAGATGGGGGAAGGCTGGGGAAACTACCAGGGGATTGGTAGGAAGTGAACGTCTGGGGTGGCTATGACCATATCCACAGGTTCTTTCGACACCTGCCATTGAGAGGGAGGACCCCACCAAATCTGCACGAGCTCTGATGACTGGCCTGGAACCAGCAGAACACAGCAGGTGTGAAGATGCTGCGTGTTATGCAAAGCCATGTGAGAGGCGCAGGTGCCTCTCCAGTTCAGGCCGCGCTCGGGGTGCAGCCACTGTCACCTTGAGACTGTCCCTGCAGGACCCCCATGAAGCCTCCGGCCAACTTCCAGTCTTCTCAGACGCAACATCCACGAAGCCCTGGGGGACCACAGCCGTCCACACCCAGGCCAGGCCACAGGACAGATCCCTTGGCAGATGCTCCCCATTTCTAACCCACTAGCACATGAACAAGTCAAACGGTGGCTGCTGACACCACGGAGCGTGAGTGGTCTCAACAGCAGGAATAACCGAAGCCCAGGATGCAAAGCTGCCTGAATACCTGTGAGATGCCAGGAGGGGGACAGGAAGTGGTAAGGACCCAAATAGCCACCGTGGGGCGCAGGAGAGGATGGTCTGGAGCCTCAGCAGCTCTGGTTGGAAGACAAAGCCTGCCTTCTTGAAGCTCCTCTTCCTTCCTAAGTCTTCCCTCCTCCCTACCTGCCCACCTCTACCTTCCTAAGGGCTTGCGCTTGGAAAGCATGGCAATCCCCACTGGTAAAGCTGATCTGCGGCGCCAATGGGGAATGGCATCCGACCAGTGCAGCCCGATGCTCTGCCTCCAAGCCACACCTCCAGGAGGCTGTTTTCCCAACTTCACTGCTGACAACCCCCTTCTGACAGTATTTTCCTTAAGGCATTCTCAAGGAGGCCTCCGACTTCTCAAGGCACCATTTCTTTAAAGCGCCTTTGCAAATCTCTCCTGACCCGCTGTGTGTTGATTTTACAGCTTCCTTTTAGAGGTAGTCTCATTTGTGAATTTTCACCTGCACAGCTGTCACGATGCTTATATTCTTGGGGACTGTCTTTTTCATCCCCTTGCACTACCCTTGTATCCTCCCGTATGTAGAATAAAACACCTTCACTGATTGCCAAATTGGAACTTCCTGGCAGAAATGCTTAAAAAATTGTTTGTTTCAGTAAGTTAACAAAAGCTAGTCCGTGTAGGAGAAGAAAAACTGACATTACTCACCACTGACAAATAAAAACTGCTCCCAGCTCTGCGTTACTGCCTACAGCAATAAAAGCCTGGCACGGGATTCAGCAAAAACACTTCCCGGTGCTCATCCATTTAACACTAAAAACCTCAGTGCCATCAGCACTGCATTACTTTCAACAGCGAGACACGGAACTTGAGGCTCAGAAGACTAAGCAACCAGGCCAGGGCCACAGCAAGCACCATGCTGGCTAGAAAGCTGGATCTGCCCAACTCAAAGTCTGACTCAGCAGTCAAACTGCACCCTTCCAGCATCTCTGCAAAAGACAGGTGGTTTCAGAGACGTACACACCCCTCCCAGCACCCTGCATTCGGCATACCTGTTTTTTTAGGCTGAAAAACCGGATGGCAGCGAGAACCTTCTTCAAGACTAATCAACAATTCTACTGCTGCTTTTTCCTAGTTTAGAGAAAACAGTGGCTACTATCGTGTTTGGGTAGACTTAGTTTTCTTCTATTGAACTGTAGGCCAATTAGAGTCCCCATTTCTCATTATCTTTCTTCAAACAATTTTTTGCAGCTAGAAAAGCAAACGCTTCACTAAAGTAGGTTTCACATGGCAAGGAAATCACAGCAAATAAAATGATTTTAAATGGAGGCCATTAACAATAATAGATCACAAATGCCACACCCACCCTCTGTGCACAAAACTGGAGATGAATAAGAAAAAAAGGATTCCAAACAATTGGAAATTTAACTAGGAAATAGTTATTTAAACACTAAAAAACAATACAACTAAAAAAAATCACATAATGATTTAATTGCTAAGCACATACATATTTTTACAAGCATAAAAATTACATCATTTGAAGCTGATATAACCACATAACTTAAAAATCCAAGTCAGTCAACAAACCTATGAGAAACAAAGTCAGTGAATTGATAGTTGACAAAAAATCTGTAACTACCTAAAATTCTTTTTTCTTTTCTTTTTTCTTTTTTTTTTTTGAGACACAGTCTTACTCTTTTTGCCCAGGCTGGAGTGCACTGGTGCGATCTCAGCTCACTGCAACCTCTGCCTCCCAGGTTCAAGTGATTCTCCAGCTTCAGCCTCCTGAGTAGCTGGGATTACAGGCACCCACCACCACGTCTGGCTAATTTTTTTGTATTTTTATTAGAGACGGGGTTTCACTACGTTTGGCCACACTGGTCTTGAACTCCTGACCTCAGGTGAACCACCTGCCTCGGCCTCCCAAAGTGCTGGGATTACAGGTGTTAGCCACTGCACCCGGCCCGCTACCTACAATTCTTAAAAGCACAAAACAAACAACTCAAGTAGCTAGATGTTAACTATGGAAGAAATGTGCTGGCCTTCCCTTCACTCAGATGTGTGAGAGCCTGGAGTGCACTAGGGAGTGTGCTGGGCAGAACACGGGAGGCACACACATGTGCCTGCATGGGTGATGTCCCCACAGGGCAGACCCACACGCAGCATATGTGTGCCACTGCAGAGCAGCGTACATATCCCACTGCAGAGCAGTGTCTGTGTGCCACTGCAGAGCAGTGTATGTGTGCCACTGCAGAGCAGTGTATGTGCCACTGCAGAGCAGCGTATGTGTGCCACTGCAGAGCAGTGTATGTGTCACTGCAGAGCAGCATACATATCCCACTGCAGAGCAGTGTATGTGTGCCACTGCAGAGCAGCGTATATATCCCACTGCAGAGCAGTGTATGTGTCACTGCAGAGCAGCGTACATATCCCACTGCAGAGCAGTGTATGTGTGCCACTGCAGAGCAGCGTATGTATGCCACTGCAGAGCAGCGTATATATCCCACTGCAGAGCAGTGTATGTGTCACTGCAGAGCAGCGTACATGTGTCACTGCAGAGCAGTGTATGTGTCACTGTAGAGCAGTGTATGTGTGTCACTGCAGAGCAGCGTATGTGTGCCACTGCAGAGCAGCATATATATCCCACTGCAGAGCGGCGTATGTGTGCCACTGCAGAGCACCTGGCTTCTGTTCCAAGACAGAACCCATCTGAGGGCTTCTGAGGAGAGGATGACATGTTGGGGAAGGATCAGTCTGGCTGCTGTGTTATGACAAGGGGAAGGGCTCGCAGAAGTCGGTGGGCAGACCAGTCAGTGCCAGCGACATTCCAGGGAGGGACCAAGGCGGTATGGCCAGGTGGTGGCACAGGAGGGACAGGAAGAAGCAGATGTGGAACATATTTCTTTTTTTTTTAATTTTTCTTTTTTTGAGACGGAGTCTTGCTCTGTCATTCAGGCTGGAAAGCAGTGGCACAATCTCGGTTCACTATAACATCTGCCTTCCGTGTTCAAGCTATTCTCAGGACTACAGGCACCCACCACCATGCCCAGCTAGTTTTTGTATTTTTATTAGAGACAGGGTTTCACCATGTTGGCCAGGCTGGTCTCGAACTTCTGACCTCAGGTGATCCACCTGCCTTGACCTCCCAAAGTGCTGGATTACAGGCATGAGCCACCGTGCCGGACTGTGGAACATATTTCTAAACCTGTTCCAAGGATGGAGTATGAAGAGAGGAGAGGAATCTGAGGCTTCCAACCTGAGCAGCCACCCTGGGAGGCTGGAGGTGCCACGTAGATGGGAGGACTTGAGTAATGAAGATGGGGAGACACTGTGTCCCTGAATAAGCTTCAATATTGTGAAAAATGTCAATTATCCCTAACTCAATCCATGAGGTGTTCTTATTTGTTTTTGGGTTTTATGTTTGTCCAAGTTTACACAGAATAATAGCTATTATTTTTTTTAAAGTAAAGCTAGACTCTGTACCTTACTCTCAAGATGAAATAAATTCCAGTTGGATCCAAAGACGTAAATGGAAAATAAAGAAAAATAGGTAGGGCACGTTGGCTCATGCCTGTAATCCAGCACTTTGGGAGCTGAGGCGGGTGGACATAAGGTCAGGAGTTCAAGACCAGTCTGACCAACATGATGATACCCCGCCTCTATTAAAAAATACAAAAAAACTAGCCGGGCGTGGTGGCAGGCACCTGTAATCCCAGCTACTCGGGAGCTGAGGCAGAGACTGCTCGAACCCAGGAGGCGAGGTTGCAGTGAGCTGAGATTGGTGCTACTGCACTCCAGCCTGGGTGACAGAGTGAGACTTTGTCCTCAAAAAAAAAAAAAAAAAAAGAAAAAAAGAAAGAAAAATAGAAGTACCAGAGAAATGTATACCTATATTTTTAATTTTGAAAAGCAAAGATTCTTTTCAGAATGACTCCAAATGTGAAGCCAGAGAAAAAAAATCAAAACCTATGAACAAATAAAAGCATATATACACAAATAAGGCTAATGAACCAGTGGGAAAATGAAACTGAAATAAATGGAGAAAATACATTAATAGGCAATTAATGAAAGAATGATAAACATCTAGTAACATAAAAAAGAATGAAAATAAAAACAATCTTGGCTGGATATGATGCTCGCGCCTGTGGTCCACTACTCGGGAGGCTGAGGCAAGAGGATGGCTTGAGCCCAGGAGGTCGAGCTATCATAAGCATGATGCACCACTGCACTGTAGCCTGGGCGACAGAAGCGAGACCCTGTCTCATAAAAATAATAAATAAATAAAAGAAAAGAATTTTAAAACCTTATTGATATCTTTTGTCTTAGAACTTTACTTTTTAAAGTATTTACGTAAGTGCCCAATGACAAAGATGTTCATTTCAGCATAATATTAGGAATTTTCTACATTAGGAACATTACAACTCATCCATCAATGAAGGACTGCTTACGTAAATATAACATATTGATAAATTGGAATATCAAGCAGGCTGACAAAAGAATAAGGCAACAAGATGCCAAAACACACTGTTAATGAAAAATGCTAGCTATAAAACACAACGTACCTTCCTACAAACTCACTTTGGTAGACTCATAGCAAAAATGTGGTAGCAACACTACCTAATTATTAACAGTAGTTATTTCTGGGAGATGGAATTCTTGAGGGCTGTTACTTTTCACATTAGTTTTTCTATTTCTAGTAATTTTTCTTTGAACATTTAAACATTTTAAAATAACTGTCAAATGTATAATTTGAAAAAAAGATTAAAATGTCAATAACAAATATTCTAACCTAAATTATTTACTTTGAAATAATAAAAGAATTAGTTTATTGATGATGCAAATATCCTACCCCATCGATGCAGCAAACATCTGTAAAAATTTCCTAATATTTGGTTAATCCTGTTTTATAATTTCCTCTTTGATTTTCAATACTTAGCTGCTGTTACATACAAAAGCAAATGTGTTTTTAAGAAACAAGTTAAATTGTTTTAGTAAGATTAATATTGATTGATCTGTGATAGAGAATATAAACTTATGTGTAATCCAGTCAC